AAAAGCGCAATGACTACTTTCGGACTTTTTCAGTTCAACATGTGTAATATGCATTTTATAAATCTCCTACTGAAGAGACCTTAAGAGGTCACTATAATAAATAATTTAATACTATGCAATGTATAATTTCATATAGGTTCCACTCTTAGAATTCTTTCAATGTGCAGTTATTTTACAAACACAACTGCTTAAAGTTTTAAGATTTTTTACATATTTAAATTCAGCTTTTATTAGGCATTTACAAAACGGAAGAATTTTGATTACTGATGGAAAGGATATAAATTTTTCCGAATAATCGCGTAGGGAATCAGCAATCAGGCAATGAACTTTAATATTTTTAATTTTTAATAGTGGTACTACCTCTCTCTACATGACTAAACACATCTCGTACATATTTTACAAAATCTTTGAAATACTCATCCACGAACACCTATTCATCCGAAATAGCTCCAATTGCAGTTCAGAGGCATCTCCTTTATCATCTGGGATCTCTACTATTCAAGCGTGGACACGTAGTAAGTAGTAGATCAACGCGTCATCCTGAGAGAAAGGAATAGGTTCTAGTGCTTTCCAAGACAGAAGACAATCCTCTATCAATGTGGCACCCCGACTTACTCCATATGCTAACTAGCAATAATTGCATTCATTCTTCATTAATGGCGGTATTGCCACTGGGTAAGGTCATACGGTCAGTCCTATCAAGTACGTACTGTAACATTGTTTATCCTTATACAATATTTCAAAGCTGGTGTTCCGCAAAACAGCACCTTAGATCACTTTCTCTTATCAGCACACAGTCAGAATATTCCTAACCATCGCAATGCAATACTGGACTCATTGCATATGCTGACGGTACTGTCAAACCCCCTGATGTTACTCTCAATCCTGTTTAGAAGAATGGTTCAAGATACCAAATCCAACCAAATAACTTTCACCCTTTGTGTCTTTGTCGGTCAAATCTGATAACGTCGTAACCTCAACCTCCCCGCTCCCATCAAACCCGAAAAATCTAACATCGGCACCACCTCCACTTCCCTACACAACACCTTTATCCATCTCCTGGTGACATGCCTTCAGGTAAAAAAAAAAAAAAATGGTACGGGTGGGGTGAAATGGGAAGTGCAAAAGTATTTATTATATTCCCCGTCAGATCACAAGAAGATGAAGGAGAGGGGGAGGTGGACCTCACCTTCGTGTGACATGTTGTCAGACCCCTTGAAGCTGAACTCCGAATTGATTTGACGACATAAAATTAGGAGTGGGTATTGTAGATAGAACATAACTGGAGGATGAGGTGGAAGCTCCTCTCTTAACATTTATCAGATCACATTAACATGACAAGCTATTTTCTCCATTTTTGAATTTTCGCGACTCGCAGATCGTGATCTAATTTCGACTGGTCTGTTATTCCTACCCTCCATCGGGCGCACCTCTGAATGAAACACAACCAGGCGCACCCGACCTGAGAGGCCAGCTACCTGTTTTACCCTCCCCCCTTCCCCTCTAATCAATTTAATCCATAACACCGTTAAGGTAGCCTTTGCTAGGATTTACGGAAACAAAATACACCAACTTGGATGGAAACAAACGTTTATTGAATATAATGAAGCTTAAACTAAAACAACCAAAATTGCGAATTTTGTACAAGTTTTTGCAAAAATCATACATTTTTTTGTCCATTTCAGCGGGAAATCTAGAATAAAAGTCAGGAAAACTGAATTGAAAAGTAAAATGAATAATTACAACAAAAATATAGTGAAAAAAATTATCTTTTAATTTATGACGCAGTCAGGAGCAGTCGGCTCAACAAGCCAGGATGGGTCTAGGCTAGCAGAGTGAAGGTTGACGACAGAATGAATTAGGGATTCCTATGCACCACCAATAGGAAACTACTAGGACGGGCGTCCCGTTAGGCCGCGAGGTAAAAAAATTGCAGGCAAAAAGGTGTTTAGTTGGCCTCTCAGGCCGGCTGCGCCCGACGGAGAGTTAAGACGATGATGTTCCAAGTCTTTTGTTTGGAGACATTTTCCCCCCAGCCCAAACACTCACTGAGCTTCTAATCCTGCAAGTAACTGTTGTCAGTGCTTGAGTTTTCCGGGAACAGTGAATATAATGTAAAAGGAACTCACCTAAATCAAATTTGCTTGGACGATCAAATTGATAACAAGCTTTACTCGGTAGCGCCTGAATATATGTGGTTTCTGGCTGAATCGGCTAAATTGAGAGAGCACAGTACACACTACTACTCGACCAGCTAGTCTTATTGACAAAACCTTAATTTTTACCAGATTAGATTGATGCTATTTAACAGACCTTAAAAGGAGTCTTAATAATACAATTCATTTTGTACAAAGAAAGTTAACGGGAATCATCCAACAATCTGTTGCGTTGGTACGCTGCATGAATTTCCGCAGTAACTCACTGGCAACTTCGTTCACTTTATGTAAGAGGTAAATCATTAACCCTCTTTTTATTTTCCAATTCGCAGAACACAAGGAGGGGTTGGCTTAGGGCGAACCGCACCTCCAGCAATCTGCTGCGTTGCTGCGCGTCATTAACTGCCCCCTTGCTCTAACTTACAGGCAGTTGGGCGAACACTTAAGATGTGAGGTAAATCATTAGCCCTCTCATTGTCGGCATAAATCCGGAAATCGGCCGGGCGTAACACCAGGGTGTCACAGCGGAGTGATCGACCCCCAGTGAAATACGGTGCTCAGAGGTTTTCCGGGTCACCGCCTACATTCATACTAGCTAATGGCCTACATTCCATCAATAACACACTGATCGTTATACTGCCAGTAATGCCCAGTTTATTATTCCTGAAATTGTTTCCTTGTTCGTCCCCCTTTGTGTATTTCTGGAGTTCAATTTTAAATACCGAAGGTTAATAATTTAGTAGTTTACCAAAACATACGATTCTAGAACAACAGCCAATTTCAATTTAGACAACTTGCACATGTAACAGATGTGACAAGTGTAGTGCCAAAGAAGTGTAGTGCCAATTTAACTTGATCAGAAACCTAGTAATGTTGAGAGAAGCATAGAATCAATCGTTTTCGAGAGTATTATTACTACGAGGTTATATGGTCACCCAGGGTGCGGGTGTACATTGTAAGTTTGTAAGTATGTCGGGTTCGAATTCAAAGCCGCTGGATTCGAACCTTGGACATTTACCTTATGATGAGCGCCGTGCCAACGCCAAAATGTTGTAGCCATCGACGATTTCAAATGTTTACAACCAAAAAGAAATATTTTTTCTGCTTGGACGTGGTAAATTACATGTTCGTTCCATTTCTCTGGCACCTATTTTTTAATTAAATTTGCGTTACATTACTACTACTTTGAATTATGTAATTATTGTAATTAATTTGTTTCCATAAAATCAATTTTTCTACTTTTACCTTGATCTATCACGAATTCAATGAAACCATTTTTCGGACGAAACATCTACGCGTCCCAGCGTTTTTCCTACTGAGATGCAGGGTGCGAAGATACAAATTGTTTTAACTAATTTACATATTTATTTAAATTCAACTGAAAAGGGTAATGCAGGATAATTATAAGATCATATACATAATGGCTCGTTCTCACGATTTAACTTTTGAACAGCATTCGTTGATTAACTAAAGATGAAGGACATTTGTGGAAGGACCACCTTCGGTTCACCGAGTCAAACTTTGTGAGATCAAGTAATGAGTCAGTCCTTTCAAGTTGAAACATGGACTAAGTTGGTGTCAAATGTTACACACTACACACGTTGAGTTGTTTTATTTTTTGTATAATGAATAGGAAATAACCAAAACTGAGCCTAAAGTGAAACTTGAAGTTTGGTGCTAAAATTATTAGAATAACTGCCTTAGAATTGTTAAAAAAAATTGCCTGATATATTATTGCACAGCCGGAGACAACGAAAAATCTTTGGTTGTCTCCCTCTATAGTACAAAGAGGAACAAGATAAAAATAAATTTTAATAATCGCCTATAGTATGGAATAACAATAACAGTTATCAATATAACATTATATACTTTTTAAGAAGTTGGTATTTAGCCTTGGGTAATGAGATTATGTGGCATTTTTGACATGGTATTGAAAAAAGATATAAAGTTTGAACCAATAGGTTTTATGGTGACGCTAGCGAATAAATAAATATGCGAGGAAAAATTCGTTAAAAAAAGATTTATCGTAAAAGAAATGGATATCGTCGGACTTACTATTGCTGATTAGAAAACCAAATTTATTCTGTCATAATCATACGTAAGAAAAAGTATTCAATTAAATACTTTAGAGTTTTACAATTTTTATGGAAATGTGAGACAAAAAACTGATTCATGTCGCTTTCAACATTCGTTGATCAACTAAAGTTAAAAAACAAAAGTTGAATCGTGAGGACTCGGCATAAAATATGTAAAAAGAGTTTTAAAAAATAAACAATTTGAATTCATTTTAAGTACTCTTTAATTCAATAAATACAGTTTTATAAAATAAACAAACCATACTTTAGGGCCTGAGGCGATTAAATTCTCTTTTCTCTGATGTCTGGTGATCCACATAAATTTCATTAATTCCTGTAAATTATATTCAATGCCCAGGTTGTGGTACTGTTGTAAAACTAAGTTTTTAACATTTTTACTTTCGGTGTATGCCAATAACGTTCAATAAGGATATAATCGACGAACGTCTTGAAAAGTTTATATTCTATATATGACTCTTAGTTGTTTTCAAAGGCCAAGTTAATGCCATTCCGACTCGCTTATTTGGTTCTAGAACGTTAATGATATCAGATCAGTTTTGTAAGAATTTGGATGCCAAATATTTTTTATTTAAAAAAGTTTTGATTTTCCAAAATATTTGTATCTATTTTATTTTTTCTGGTGGGGGGAGGGTCGGTGGCCGCAGCGGTTTAGGCGTTGTCGCCACTCTCATCACTGTAAGGTAAAGAGTACCGGGTTCGCATTCAGCGGCCCTGCATTCGAACCCGACATACTTACAAATGAGTTTTTTATCCCAAGGTTGATATGACCTCTGCAATAGCAAAAAAATACCAGAGTATAGGTGTGGTTGATATTAACAGTTGACAGACCTGAGTTGTAATTGAGCTAACCGGTGTAATAAACTGTTATGCACATGCTAGCGATTTCTTAATAACATACAACACAAGTTAGTAAAAAAAAATTTACCTTGTAGATAAAAAATAACTGGTCGTTACCAATCATTTTGGTCTTGTTATACTCGATAGATTGTGCCAGGAAGTGTTTCGGTATTTAGCCATCTTCAGCGTTGTTTTTCACAATTATTTTTTTGAGCTTATCCCCCGAGAAAAATTACTTGATGTTTTAAGACGTAGAATTATATTTCTCTAAAAGTAGTACAATATCCTTAAGCTTTTCTTAGTTGGTCTAATCTGCGTACAATGAATTGTATTTAAAATAATTTTAACTCGACATTGAGCGAAAGCTATATAATTATAAAATGTTAAATTAAATAAGTTTTTAAATTATGGAGTGTATAAACTAACATTGTTAGTGTAATTATTACTTCCTTTTTAATTTTGTTTTTGAACTTTTAAAACAGTTGTTGTTCTTTTTAAAAATGTTAGTAAAACTAAACCATAGAGAATGCAGAAATGTGAAACTCCATCGTGTGGGCATGAGAAGTGGTAATGTAAAAATCCTTGTCAGTTGTAAATTTAAAATCGCCCATTTCGATTTATAAGAGTCATTGCATTTAGGACTGCAATAACCCTAGAACTGTCGTAATGTAATACACAACGGTCATGAAAAGCTGCGGAGCATGTTCCAAGAGAAGAGCGGGGGTTGTCCATAATTCGGGATAGGTATCTGACCCTCGATAATTATAGTCTTGTTTGAACTTCAGTGTTTCAACCGAAATTCAACACGTCAACGAGTTGTCTGCACGGAGCTTTTGAATAAAATAAAGAATAATAATCCGAAGTGGCCAGTTAATTTCATCCTAGGAATTCGGTTTCCTGAGCTGATTGAAAGAACGCCAATATGTAAACCAATTTACCTTCACTTGAATTGTATCAATTAAGAGATTAACTATAATTAAGTAATTATATGTTTTTAACTCTTTAACGCGTATAACAAGAAGGAGAGTAATCTGTTTTAATTTGTTATTAAAATGGAAATATTTAACCTGGTTGTTTATTCCATCAAATTATATTTTTCAAAAAAAAAACAATAGTTAATATTAATAATATTAACACCGGTTTCGATTAAATAGAATATCTAAAAAAAATGTTCATATTTATTTTATTGCTGTATAATACAATTTTTAAACTTAACATATGGGTTGAACAAGGGGCGCTTTAAGTCCTCTCCTATTTGCTCCATTGCTAAAGATTTTTATTTTTTTCTGTATTTCTTTCTCGAGTCAAGGAGTATTTTTCTTTCTTTCAAATTCACATTCTCCCAGATAAATTATCAACAACTATACTATTTAAATTGCGGCATTACGTATTTTTGGTAACAATACTATAGTAAAAATCGTATTCTATAAGTGGCGAAAAATTGTTATATTTTTCTGAATAACAGAAATGAATAAAAGTTAATTTGGCAGCGTTGGCATTTAGAACTAACCAAAATAGCAAAGGAAAATTTTGTAACTTGAATTTATGATGAGTAAACTTTGATCAAATTTTTGACACATTTAGAATAGATTCTGGTGTTTTTTTCCCAATGTGCGATATGGGTTTTTGGTGTGAGCGTTATGTTGATAATGAGTCAATTTATGCAACTTTATTCCACTCTGTTATTCCCATTTTTCTATTTTTTATTCAAACATATTTATTTATTTTCGTAAAATCCATAGTTTAATGATGATTGAATTATATTACTTCATAATAAAATATTTGTGTTCAAATATTACATTTTTGTTTTGAATTTCTTCATATGTGAATACTATTTTTAATTCAAATTATGTCGAATTGGTGGTCAGGCGTGAATGAATCAAAGGAAAGGATCGAAAACGCGACACGGGACCTCTAATAGGAAGAGCGAAGTGCTCTGCTATCTATGAGGACTTTGCTGGACTAACTTACGTAGTACTAGCGCTTCGTTGGGCTTCCCGGCTTAACCACTATCGAGATTTGGAAATTAAAAATATACTTGCTGTTTTTAAAACAAAACAAAAAATTCAAAATATGGATAGATATTTATAATTACAGCAGCATATTTTCATTTTGTTAAATATAATTTTAATTTCAGCTAACCATTTAAACATCGGCCGCATTCAAACTGCCCAATCCTTAATTCAACGAAAAATCCTGAATGTTCCATTTTATGTATCCGACGTAACACATGCAATTTTAGATATACTTTTCGTTTAACATGAATTCCGCTCCCGTTTCGCGAATTTCACATAACCCTCGAAACAACCGTAAATCAGCACATCAGAAACTCGCATCCTCACGAATTTCCTCGAACTCTACTCCTCGACTGAAGAGGCAATGGTCGCGACAACTCCTCCGGAGTGACAGAGAATGTCATAAAGACCCGAGTATTAATTAAACGGATAATGTTTTAGTAACATTGGAGTACTACTAACGGGTATTTTTTCTATTATTCTATGCAACTGAGAGAACCAATCTCGTGGATTGTTACATCCTAGCAGTTTATCAAGACTATTAAAAATTTTTGCGATTTGTCCATTGCTGGTCTTCTCGTGTTTTCGGGGTTTTGCTTCTTTTAGACAGAGTTAGTACTTTAAAAGCGAAATTTGATGAATTTCAAAAGAAAAAGTATTTCATTATCCCTCTAAAACTGAAAATACAGTCAACTGTAAACACAAGAACTAATTTTAACACGAATCGTTCTAACCCGCTGTGCCTTATGCCATAGGTGTACCCTATTAAAGTGGCAACCCGCCCAAAACCGGTACACGTTCCCTATTTTATGACCCCCTACATGGGAATCCTCACCGATCCTTACGGTAGGGGCATAAATTCGCATACTCTTTTCAAGCCATAAACGTCGCCCAGCGTGGCTTTTTGATTTACAATATACATATAATAAATTCACCCCCAATAGAGCCCTTGTTTATTTTTAAATCCCCTAAGGTCTCGGTTATTTACATTTCGACCAGAGAGGTATTCCTGAATTGATTAAATTCCATAACATTAAAACCAGAGTACACTTAAGAACCTAGGCCTATTAAACAGACGGTTATTTTATTTCAGAGCACTATTTCATGCATCCTGACACAATTAATGTTCACATTTTAAATAAACAAAAATTGAAGCATTACCAGTAATAATTGTTTGCATTTATTTTTGAATAATGTAGATAACAAAATAAAGAAGCAAATCTCTTCCCATTTTAATAATATGCGACCTATATACATTTAGGAAAATAAATATGGTAAAAATGCATTGTGAACGTTTTCAATTGGTCGTGTATTTACATAAATCTACATATGTGTTCCAACTAAATCAGTCGTTTTGACCTTTATGTATAAATAAAATTCGAACAAGTAATTTCAATTCGGTCAGCTGTTAACATTTTCCATATTGTTTGGAACATAAATTGGTAATTTCAAATAACTCTAGTTTATAATTCTTCTCATCTAAAGGCCTGTTTGAACGTAGTTAACTTATGCTTGGAGATTAAAAAAATTACGCTACCTTAAAGGGAAGGAAAAGACAATAAAACCGAATGAGTAACAGTATTTTTGTAAATTTGCTTAGGTAAAATAAATTTTAATATGTAGGATAGTTACTATAAATAAATTTAAAAGCCAAGACCGTAAATTAAATTATTTTAAAAATTTATATTACATATGTTTTATAAATTCATGTATAAACGTATAATTTGTGTTTTACTATTCATTTTTACAATGATTCGATTGTATAGGTTTTTATCAATTTTCCAGCAATTTTTATTTTCTTATATTTCTAAATACTATTTAAATGAAATTGAGCTAAACATAGCGTTAATGTTTGTAAACAGGTAATCACAATGTAATATTTTTTAAAGTCATTAAAACAGTAAATATAAAACTCAATCTTTCCATAATCATGTAACGATACAGCTGACATTCCATGAACTTCCTTTTTCGGTCGCCGTACAATTGTTAAAATAAAAATAACTGGTCTTTTATATCATTGTATTCGGAAAATTATTAATTATTCAATTGTTTGTGGTATGCTCATTGTTTCCCATCAATTTTCTATTTCTACTTTCTTCTATTCATTTTTGCCAAAAATACTTTGATTCAAATTGTGCTTTCTTATCCAGGCTTTCAAACCGGCAGATCACAACAATTATAAAACAATTTTATATTTTTTAAGAAATGAAAAATAATAAGGAAAGCAGTGTTAATCTTACTTTTACACTTTGCACTTTTTAACACTTTTGTAAAAATTAAAAATTTTCTTTTTCAATACATTAAAAACTGTAGAATAAGCGAAATGAATGTTTTGCTTATAAGAAAAAAAAAACGTCAAATATAACATTTGTAATTTCAACGAAGTGGTGACATCAGCGTTTTTCCCTTACACATTTTTATTTCTGGTTTAGGATAACTATTTTTACGTTTATTATCTACACTGTTGGTTATTTTTATAATTTATTTTATTCATTATTCAGCTTTAATTATTTACAGAAATGTGTATGAAACCTATTTGCTTTAGTGGTATGGAAAAATGTGGACTTCTTTTTTTATATTTGACGGCATTAGAGTATTACATTGATTTTGAAATAGTCGAAATCTTTGATTTGCTGAGTACTTTTTTTAAAACCTCAACATTCTTTTTTCAAATTTCTTTGTCAATATTATTGTTTCTAGGTGCATTATTATATTATATTATTTATATTAGAAACAGAAAATAATTATCGGCTCTACTTGTACTTTTTATATTTCTTGTTGTTATTTATTAAAATTTATTTTTCTAAAAATTGTTTGTTTGAAGAAGTGTTTACTTACCAATATTGGGCTGATTTTCAACGTTCATTTCAGTGAACAGAAAACCGTTTCCACTTGACAAATTTAATCAAAACATCAATCTCAAGATAAATGGATCAAATGAATCATATGATTTTATGTTTTAATGTTGATTTTTTATATTAAACATACTTTTATGTTTTGATCGTAAGATTTTAAAATGCCTTATTAAATTAGGTTTCGTAACCATCGTAATGGCATCATTAGATGTCTGATTCAAAATAAAATTAAAACAAACTGCAATCAATCGTTAATCAGCTTAAGCCTTCAGTTACGGAAAGATGACATTAATTGTCATTGTGGCGTTATATACAATGAAAGCTTGTCATAACTATAGTCTAGTGTATCAGTTAAATTCCTTCCGATCTTCTTAAACTCAGTTATAATTTAGGTCGGACTTAAAATAACTAATTGGGGGGAAAATGTTAATACTAGGCAAAGGGAAAAAACAAAGTAGTGAAAGGGAAAAAAATTACTACGATATTGTCTAGCCATTTTTCCATGTGCGCTATCCAAGTTGTCAACATGTGAAATGTTGTTTAAAAGTCGGATAAGGATGGTATGCTAGAAAATAGATCGTGTTTGATAGTATGATGTGATCAATGGATCGTTGGGTCGCCTTCCCGGATAAAAGATTTATGTACGACGTACGGATGACAGATTGCCCGCGACCGGACCTATCCCCGAACTCTGCCGCTCGAGGGTGGCTCAGAGAAAAAGTTAATTTTCATTTGACACGTCTTTTACCATTGAAACGGAGGTACAAGGAAAGTGCATTTGGAAGGACGGCGACCCCGATGTTATCTACGGCATCTCTCCGACAGATAACACGTCCAAATATTCGACAATAAATTAAAATAATACACCCACTAGTCTATAGAACGGTGACGTCTGATACAGGTTCCGCTGTGGACATTTGTTATGCCAACTATTGGGGAAAAAGAACGACTAAACAAATAAAACTGTCTGGACCAACTAATGTTATTCTGTATTTTACACAGATGGGGAGAATCGTTTTGTGAAATATTATATTCGGGCTTTTTGTGATAATCTGTTTAGATGTCGAATGCTTATGTAAACACGAACATATTTATTGTTTTTATGGAACGAAATAGTCATAACACTTTACATGGGTCTTTAAGATTAATAGATTATACCTATCTTCACGCACACCAAAGCACTCCATTGACAATTGGAATGTTTATATATTAGGTTTTTCAAAACGTTGGTATCTTTGACAATATTTCGTTGTGTAAAATCATTTGTTAATTTATGGACAAAAAATAAATATCTTGATAATAAAAGTGTTGACCAATATCATCTCTATACTTAAAATGTTATAGTTTATAATTTGTAAACCATCCAGGAATTATTTATATTAATATCTAACCGTGACATTATTTAAATAGGGGAAATATCCTTTTTGATTTGATCCTTTGACGTGATCTCAAAACAAATAAGATATGTTTAAATATACTTTTCATAGACTTTTAACGGGTACTAGTGATGAAAACGATAAAAAAAACAGATATGAATTGGCTGGTTAGCTCTATCACTTTCTTCTTATCTAAAAATCAGTCAACAATTGGTAAAACTAGATGAAGAATTGCTAGTCTTGCAACATTGAAAAATAGCTGTACCTCCGGAATCTATTTTAGGTCCACTCCTATAACTAATTTATGCAAATATTTCTAAAATAATATTTAATAGAAAAAAATGACAAGTTTGGTTGAAAATATGACATCAGCTTCTAAGCCAGCAATACACTAATGGATTCCTTTTAGAAGCGGGTAGTAATTATTTTAAACTAACTTTAGCTCTATTGTCAAATTTTGTGTAGTACACAATGCAGATTTATTTACATTTTTCAGTCAAATTTTGACAATATTTTGTTCACCATTTTAAGGAATGCACAAAATTTTTAGAAACAGGAGATTAACCAAAGAGAAAAACTATTGTCCAAAGACTTTTTTTACTCAATTTGTGGTATAAGCAGATGGCATCGTCGAAAAAACCATATCATTGAGATATTGCTGCACTGGCACTCTCAACGCGATACACAAGAATAACACAATTACGCAGAAAACAAAAACTGAGTGAGTACAAATCCTTTGAGTGAATATAATTTTTTTTTCATTGTATAAATTCATTTGGTTCCACATCCTACATGTTAAATTTAAACAATGTTTGTAAATTCTAGGCCCTGAAGATAATCTCAATAAAGATCGAAACGTTGGCACGATAAAGAAAATGTTTTTTCTAAAAACTTACGTCACACCAGACCGCATCTCACGATCTTCGAATAATCATTGACTAACGGTCATTAAACACCACACACGTTATAAACAATGTTCTGAGTGATTATGTACATTATGTGTTATGTACGTTAGATGTTTCCATTACCACGTTTTGGGGGGTATTTTAATATTTTGTTTTGTATTTTTGTACACACTTTTCTTCAAAATAGAATACCACATTTTTTGCTCCCCTTGAAACCGTTATGTTGGACAACAAACATGCGTCGAATTTTACGAAATAAGTATTGCAGAAGTATTACACTTATGTATCATAGAAAATCTAATAACCAAAGAAGGATCTGAATGTCGGTCGAGAATAACTGCCGAATACGGGTTGAGTAACATTTTGATACAAAACTGCAAGTAGGAAAAACGTCAATGCAATCACTAACTCCTATAAATTGGAGGCCTTGCTTATTTTGCACATTTCACCACAAACAGCTATTCTTACTGATTCAGAACATGGTAAACAAATAAATACTGTTTTCAGTGAGACTAGAAAAAACTGAATGATTCGACATACCGAAGATTTATGAAGACAGCTAAAATAGCCAGAAATTGAAACGGTTACAACAAATAAAATTACATGGGTATTAAAATTACATGGCATACACCGGTTATCAGTTCCATAAAATCGATTGTAAAAAAGTTAGTGAGATAGATGTAAAAAACATCAGTCAAGAGAACAAGAAACAATTATTAGCAAAGTAAACTAGGAAAATAGCGTTTACAGCGTAAGGATCTATTATTAGAAATGCGCATTTTCTGAAAGGCATAATATGTATGTAAATCACAGCATTTCTTCTCGAACTGAATCAATAAAAGAATGTATAAATCGTAAGTGGAAAATTTCCGGACGACTACTACTAATTCAAGGGAATATTTGTCATCACCAGTGAAATTTATTTTTGGAAGGTTATATTACGAAATGAAGATGATTTTTACTTTAAACTCAGCTTGGCCCACGCTTGACGGCCGTTCAAAGTTGAACTCGGGGTCATAATTATAACTCCGTTAAAATATTAATTAATTATATTAAAAAAGAAAAAATACTTGCATGGCATTTTTGTGTATACATAAATATGAAAGGACATTTATGTTTTATGTGATTCACTACTGAATAATTTGTTAGCTATAAGTCAGACAGTGGACGTTTCCTACTCTAGGAAATGTATATCTCAAAAATAATAAATGCATAATTACTATCCAGAGGATTTCGCTTTCTGTGTACATTTTTTATTTTTGTTAGAACTGTATAGTTTACAGTTAACAAATTTGAAAGAATTTATACTAAAGAAAATTATGAACATAAAACAGCATATTTTTAACTAAGAAAACAATGCTAGGAAGGAATCAGTATGATTTGTTTTCTTTATTTTGTCATAAATTGGAGACTGTGTTTATCACTATTTTTGTTTTGTATTGGTTATTATAATTTTAAATGATGATTAACTTTTTTTAAATGATCAAGGTTTCTAATTTCCTTATTTTATTTTTTTTTTAAATTATATATCATCTTTATTTATATACATGTACCAAGTGTCGGTCTGCTTTTAGTTATTTTTTTTAAACGATGTAAGATTCTCAAAAGATAAAAAACAGTACGAAATTGTTTGTTTATCTTTGTTGCTAAATGCAATTTAAAAACAATTCTCTTTTTTTTTGAGTCTTTCAATATTCAGTCACACTTCACATAGAAGCACTTGTCGTAAATAAATGAAGTAGTTTATAATTTGGCCGTTCGTAATAAAGATTTAATCTCGCCTGGTAGATGGGATAAAAGAAACCATCACTGTTATTAATTCTGAGCCGGGATAAATGCTTATGTTTCATTAGGGTCGGCCTCTTTTATTCGGATCGTTAACACGGTTTATTTTTCCTCGGTACTTCAACACTGTCGTGATACATATTTCTGTCATGTTGGCATATTTTATTATATAGTTGAAAATGTCTGATGAAAAGTTGTCATTTTAGAGCGTGTTCTAATACATATGAATAAAAAGTTAGGAATTGCATTGTCAGGTTGATTTCTTTTGATCATTTCTGCTGTTTTAATTGCGCAAACAAAACCAACAATAGAAAAATAAACCTGTGCGCAGAAATATATAATTTATTTGCGCATCGTTATATAAAAACAATTTGAAAATAATTTGTTTCCCTCGAAGCAAGAGCTGCCCAGATCCATCTCAAACTTTCACATAAATTGTGTTTTTTCGAATTGGTTTATGTCAGAGATAATTTTTAATATGTGTAAGGTACATAAAACAAGATCTCATTTCATTTGCAATTCAGTTAGGTTAGAAGTAATAGTTTTAAAATTTTAAAATAATGCCTACATCTCTTGCCTTGACCTCGTCTAGGTTTTTACCTCCGCCGAATAATAAACAATTCTCAAATAAAATTAAACAGCATTAATTTTCAACTTGATTTTCTTGCTATTCCTACTCAAAATGTTTTTATTTTCTTGCGTTAACTATATTTCACGGATAATCCTGCTATTTTAAAAAAATAAAGGAAATTTCTTCCATGTAGCCTCACGTATATTCCGGTATATTCTTAACGACTGCAGGGCCTGCGGCTTTTTGTAAACCTCGGCAATATATTAATAACTTTTATGTATACATATCCAAATCATAGTTCATGAAGTACAAACTGCAGCTATTTTAACCCGACCAAGTCCAGCTACTCATAACAAAACTGATCTACCATTTTTCAATAGTTTTTTAAACAAATTAAACTGATTACTTAAAAACTGTGAA